GGAGAATCTGGTTGAAGCAGTAAGGGTTGAGGGCTGCCTTGGTTGCAGCGACCACGAGATGGTGGAGTTCAGGATCTTGTGTGGTAGGACTAGTAGAATACCAAGTAGAATTGCAACCCTGGACTTTAGCAGGGCAAACTTTGGCCTTTTCAAGCAATTCCTAGGGGAAATCCCATGGGCAAGGCTGCTTGAAGGTAAAGGGGCCCAAGATAGTTGGTTGACATTCAAGGACTGCTTTTTCCATGCTCAAGATCGGAGCATCCCGACACGTAGGAAGTCAAGGAAGAGGGCCAAGAGACCTGTGTGGCTAAATAGGGAATTGCTGGGTATGCTCAAGTGGAAGAGGAGAGTTTACAGGTCATGGAAGGAGGGGCTGGCCACTTTGGAGGAATATAAGGCTGCTGCTAGAGGATGTAGGAAGGCAGCTAGGATGACTAAGGCCTCCTTAGAATTAAACCTGGCGAGAAGGGTCAAGGACAGCAAAAAGAGCTTTTTCAAATACATGGCAGACAAAACTAACACCAGAGGCAATGTAGGCCCACTGATGAACGGGATGGGTGCCCTGGTGACAGAAGATACACAGATGGCAGAGTTACTGAATGCCTTCTTTGTCTCTGTCTACTCTGCTGCAGGCAGTCCTGAAGAGCCCTGTACCCCTGAGACCTTAGATGAAGTCAGGTCGACGGAGCGGTTTGCCTTAGTCGATGAGGAATGGGTTAGAGATCAGTTGAGCAATCTGGACATCCATAAATCCATGGGTCCAGATGGGATGCACCCGCGGGTGCTGAGGGAACTGGCGGAAGTCATTGCTAGACCACTCTCCATCATCTTTACCAAGTCTTGGGAAACGGGAGAGGTGCCTGAGGACTGGAGAAAAACAAATGTCACTCCAGTCTTCAAAAAGGGCAAGAAGGAGGACCCGGGTAACTATAGACCGGTCAGCCTCACCTCCATCCCTGGGAAAGTGATGGAACACCTTATCCTTGGTGCCATCTTAAGGCATATCAAGGATAAGAGGGTTATGAGGGGCAGTCAACATGGCTTCACCAGGGGGAAATCATGTTTGACCAATCTCTTAGCCTTTTATGAGGAAATAACATGGTGGATGGATGATGGCAGAGCGGTGGATGTGGTCTACCTTGACTTCAGCAAAGCCTTTGACACAGTCTCCCACAGCATCCTCACGGCTAAATTGAGGAAGTGTGGACTGGATGATCAGGTAGTGAGGTGGACTGTGAACTGGCTGAAGGAGAGAAGCCAGAGAGTTGTAGTCTATGGGGCTGAATCTAGTTGGAGGCCTGTAACTAGTGGAGTGCCTCAAGGGTCAGTACTGGGACCGGTATTATTTAATATATTCATCAATGATTTAGATGAGGGAATTGAGTGTACTGTCAGCAAGTTTGCTGATGACGCTAAGCTGGGAGGAGTGGCTGACACGCCAGAAGGCTGTGCTGCCATCCAGCGAGACCTGGACAGGCTGGAGTGTTGGGCAGGGAATAACTTGATGAAATATAACAAGGGAAAGTGTAGAGTCCTGCATCTGGGCAGGAACAACCCCAGGTTCCAGTATAGGTTGGGAAACGACCTGTTAGAGAGCAGTGTAGGGGAGAGGGACCTGGGGGTCCTAGTGGACGACAGGATGACCATGAGCCAACACTGTGCCCTTGTGGCTAAGAAGGCCAGTGGCATCCTGGGGTGTATTAGAAGGGGGGTGGTTAGTAGGTCGAGAGAGGTCCTCCTTCCCCTCTACTCTGCCCTGGTGAGACCGCATCTGGAATATTGTGTCCAGTTCTGGGCCCCTCAGTTCAAGAAGGACAGGGAGCTGCTGGAGAGAGTCCAGCGCAGGGCAACGAAGATGATTAAGGGAGTGGAGCATCTCCCTTATGAGGAAAGACTGAGGGAGCTGGGTCTCTATAGTTTGGAGAAGAGGAGACTGAGGGGTGACCTTATAAGTGTCTATAAATATATAAAGGGGGAGTGTCACGAGGATGGAGCCAGGCTCTACTCAGTGGCAAACAATGATAGGACAAGGGGTAATGGGTACAAACTGGAACACAAGAGGTTCCACTTAAACTTGAGAAGAAACTTCTTCTCAGTGAGGGTGACGGAACACTGGAACAGGCTGCCCAGGGAGGTTGTGGAGTCTCCTTCCCTGGAGACATTCAAAACCCGCCTGGACACATTCCTGTGTAACATTATCTAGGTGTTCCTGCTCCAGCAGGGGGATTGGACTAGATGATCTTTCGAGGTCCCTTCCAATCTCTAGCATACTGTGATACTGTGATACTGTGATACCAATGATAATAATGATAAAGGAAATAGCAAGGGAAGAGAATACATCACCTCACCACCAGCCGACCGATAACTCGCCCCCCCCAGCCCGACCAAGCACTGACCGATACCTCCTCCAACCCTGCAGTCTCCCAGCCCTTCTGGCTAACTCCCAGTTACCTCCTGGGCATGACGTGCTGTGGTATGGAATACCTCTTTGGTCAGTTTGGGTCAGGTGTCCTGTCTCTGCTTCCTCCTGGCTTCCCCTCCTCCCTGGTAGACCATGAGGCTCACAAAGTCCTTGGCCAAACCAAAACATCGCTATCAGCTCTGTTCCCAGGCCGAAAGTCAAAACACTGCACTGCACCAGCTACCAAGAAGGGGAAAAATGACTGCTACTGCTGAACCCAGGACAACTGTTGACAGGCATTTATCTAAAACAAAGGTTTATCCAGTCCTCTTTGTGTTGAGATGAAGTGGGCTTATTTGCATTATTCTCTGAGCTTCATGAGCACATCACCTTGCTCATCTCCAGTGACCATTCTTCCATTGTAGGGGTTTATCCATTACGCCACATTCCATGCTTTGTCAGCCACAGAGATGACATACACGAGTTCAGGCTGAGATTTCAGCTGATGCCCTACCAAGTAAAATTACATAAAAACCAGTTACTAGTCTTGCAGATATACTATTTGATACCTCTGCAACACAAAACTAACCCATATCAAACCACCAGCTCTGGAAGCAGCTAGAAACAGCTGACCTGGCTGGAGAAGAGAAGCAGGGAAGAGGGGGAAGAACTGTGCTGTATGCAAAGCAGCAGCCTGAGTTCAGAGATCTACTACACAACAAATGATGGGCCTTATGGGTCAGGACCAAAAGGAAGATCAACAAAACAGCTGTTGTTGTGGGGAATCTATCACAGTCTGTTCCATTTGAGAAGAAATGTCAGCTTCTTTAGAGAACTGTAAGAAGTATCATCATCACCAGGTCCTGCCTCTCATGAAGGATTTTTTAAGCACCTCAGCATTTCACAGAAGAGAAATGTCTGGCACAACCAGCCCAAAAGACTTTTGGAGTGTGCTGACAATAATGTTCTGATGCTGTGCTGGATAGGCAAGCTGATGGAGACAGGTGCTCTGATTGATCTCCTACATATGCATATTGAAAAACCAGTGGGCAATGTCAGAGTCACATGCAAAGTCCTGCAATTAGACTGAAGTAAACCTACTCAAAAATACAGCCAGAGTGTTGGTTATGCAAGAAGGCAACTCTGCAGAACAGGATCCTGGAAAGCAGGTAAACAAGATGAAAATGAGTTGGTAGGATGCACTGGCACGCAGCCACATACTATAATGCACCAGTAAAAGCCCAAATGCCCCTCTGAAGTACTCCTGAAGTTGCATATGAAATACCATGTTTTCCTTTCCCCACTACTCACTTTAAGAAAGAGATGAATGAAGCAGAGCAAGTACAGCGAGGCACCAGTGAGGCAATTTTAAGGGGCTGAAGCACACAAGATGCAAGAAGTACTTGGGACGACAGTATCTGCACAGCCTAAAAAGACCAGATAAGAGTCTAAACGATATAGACAACTACTGAATGTGGGTTAAAGAAAAGGTAGAGCTAGACTTGTTTCAGATGGCAGAGTTAAAGGGCAAGATGAATCAGTCAGAAGCTGAAACAAGGGAACTTTTAACCAGATAAGGAAAATATTATATGAAGAGTGGTCAAATATTTGACAAGGTTGCCTAGGCTGTAAAATCTCCATCCTGGCAGATATACAGTATCTTGCTTTGAGCAGGGTACCCAGCTACAATATCTCTCCAAACTAAATCAGATCCTCAAGCCTGAAGTGTTATTCACTACAATCGTTCCTGTTACCATATATTGTATTGCTGGCTAATGCAGGTGCAATCTGAATGGAAACATTCTATTGCTGAATGCTCCCACTTTTCTGGGGGGGGGGAAAATGTTTCCCCAAACCTTCAATTGCTGAATGCTTCAGTGACTTTGCCACTATGAGAGATCAAGCTTAATCTAGCACCTGCAGTTTTCATTTGTTTGTTTTATACAAGAATTCAGTTTTACTAAAGAATATATACTGATCACCCTGAAGAAAGAAGGCTCCAGGGAGACTTCAGCACAGCTTACAGTGCCTAAAGGGGACATCAAGAAATATGGAAAGAAACTTTTAAAAAGGGCATGAGGAGATAGGACAAGGAGGAATGACTTTACACTGGCAGAGGGATGATTTAGTAAGATCTGAGGAAGAAATTTTGCCTGTGAGGGTGGTGAAGCCCTGGCACAGGGTGCCCAGAGAAGCTGTGGCTGCCCCATCCCTGGCAGTGTTCAAGGCCAGACTGGACTGGATGGGGCTTTGAGCTACCTGGTCTAGTGGAAGGTGTCCCTTCTCGTAGCAAGGCAGTTGGAACCAGATGATCACTAGGGTCCCTTCCACCCCAAACTATTCTGTGGCTCTATGATATGGTTAAAAACTGCATTAGCACAGGAATAAAAGGTTGCTAATTAATAATGTGTCTGCTTCATAAGAAAAAAAAGGGAAACAGTGCTTGACTCTGACTTAAACATTCCTTCCCCAAAATGTACTATTTAAAGCAATTACTGGGATGTTTGCCGCAGCGCTACACCACGATCTCTTCCAGTTCGAAGCCGCTCCTCGGCACCCTTCCAGGGGGAGGAGTTCTCCCTATTGCCGATGACACGGTCTCCACAGCAACCCCCCCTACCCCGGGCACCGGCCCGCTGCGCCGTGGGACCGCGGCCATTCCGCCCGCACCGGGAGCTGTAATGCCAGGAGGCGAGAACGGTTTGGTAGACGGAGCGAAGAAAACGCACCCTAAGCACACTTTGAGTTAAAAATGGAGAACTCCTTTGTGGAAGAAGTAGCTGCATCACTCATCAGAGAATTTCTCAGTAGAAAGGTAACTTGTCTCGATTTTCTACAGCAAGTTCAAATAAGAATGGTACATGAAAAATCTAAAGTACTAATAATAGACTGGGGAATGCTGGGGGGAGGGAGAGAGAGAGGGGAGAGAACGACACGGGACTTCTTCAGCCTTAAAAGCAGCCAGACATGAAGGGCAACGGGCCGGGGAGTATCGGCACTACATTTCCCACAAAGCCTTTCTATTGCTGAACGTAGAGGCCAGCATCCGCCTTGCTTGGGAAAGCCCGAGCCTCCCACACAACACGCCTGCAAAACCCGAGATTAAATCAAGAAACACAGTTTCAGGGTTGTTTTATTTATTTTCCTCAATAATTATCTAGCTTGCTGGTGTCGTTATGTTTTCAAGAAGCGCAGAAAAATTCCCAGGAGAAATATAAAAAAAAAAAAAAAAAAAATGCAAAAGGTAAATGGTTCTAGAGAAACTAGTAACTTTTTTTTTTAATTTTAATTTTTTGGGCTCATTTTTTGTTTTGCTCTTGATTTTAAACTTTTCTGTTGGTGCTGGTTTTATTGTGTGTTTTTCTCTCCTTCTCCATTCCCCCCCTCCCCGGTTCTCAGCAGTAGCTTGTCAGACAGCAACTTCTCGGGGGGGGGGGGGGGGGGGGGAAGGGGAGAGGGAGGAAAAAAAATTATACTTTTCCCAAACTTAATGCTGTAAAAGGAATGTGGGACTGAGCATAAGAAAAGGCACCTTTACATTTCAAAGTGAAAGCACCAAGCACCCTGTACTTACCTTGAATCCTAAGGAAATGCTGCTGATGCCCAGCCCTGTCAGTTCTCCCATGTCAGGAATGAATTAGCTTGTACCAGAAATGAAACAGTCACTTGCCTTGCTAAGTGCTGCACAAGCTTTAATTTTCTTCACCTGTTTTGCATCCAGTCTCCAAATGCACATTTTCAATGTTTGCGAGCAAAGCTGATGCATTTGCCAACAGGATTTCAGATGCAGAATTCATTATTTGCCATTTACTGCCAGAAGAGTGAGAGGCTCAAATCTGTCAGTTCACAGATTGCAAAGATTTTTTTCAGATGAAAGACATACATTTCTGAGTTAGACAAATGTCAAGGTAAAACTGAATAAAAGCATAAAATGAAGGGGAATGCCCTACAGGTACACAGGCCATAGAGCTTACAATACTGGTACACACTTGAACTGCCACATCTGTTTTCTACAATAGACTCTGGAGTCAAAACAATAATCCTTCATGCTTCTGCATAAGCATTCCCCTGCTTCCCCATATCTTCAATACAGACTGGAGCCAACTGTGATAATGATCCTTTATATACCACAACTTATCCATCATTCCCTACATCTAAGCCATCAGATCCATGTGCAGAAAAATAAATCCTTTATTATAACAATAACCTGCCATGGAAGAAATTCAGACTTTCTGTTTCAAAACGGTCATCTGGTATTGTACCACTTAGAAACTGGTTTAATGCACAATAAATCAGGCTCTCCCTCCAGAAAGGGCGATGCCTGTACATTTTGTCTGTGAAGTGCCCATTTATGCTGACTAGGGATTCAAAGTAACTGAGAACATGTGAAGTCTCCAGACCAGCTGATGTCAGAGACATCTCAGTGATCTCCAACCCAAGACTGATCAGAGCAATTCATGATAAGGGCTCTAAAACCACTGACAGCTGGAGCACATTTATGTTCAGACTTTGTAATTACCCATGTCAGAATCACATCTATGAAAAGCTGTTATCACATCTTGATGGAAAAAAAACAAACACAGTGTTTCTGGAAGCATTTGTACCTGAAGCTCACATATTTGCTGGGGCCTTCATACTCATCAGCCAGCCTTATGAGGCTGTTCAGCAGTTGAAGTCACCTGTATGGAGGCCTTTCTTGTTTTGTCATGCTTAGTAATTTCCATCTCACAGCCAACACAGCCACCTTAATTATTTTCTCATCTGTGGGCTGTATTAAGGCAAGACTGTACCATTAAAGTACAGATTCTAAGGGTTAGCTTATTATTAATTACTGCCATCCAGAAGTTTAATATTACATCCAAAAAAGTCATAGGATCATAGAGTAGTTAGGAAAGGACCTTAAGATATATAATGCCAACCCCCGTGCCATGGGCAGGGATGCAAGTCAAGACTAAAAGATTTGTGAAGTGGTACTGTTGCAAGTAGTCTGATGTCTGACACTTTTCCTTCTCAGGGTTTGAAGAAAACCATCACCACCATGGACCAAGAGCTTCCACGTTCTGAACTTAGCATCAATAACAGGAACGAACTTCGGAATGTCCTGCATCTGCACTCCTTGTACAAACACAACAAGGTAAGGAAACAGATGCTGCTCCCCAGAATTGGGGATCAGATACCATGAAACTATGCCAAATATATCAAGACTGTAGTATGTCCAAATGAAAGAGAACTCCAGCTTTCATCTGGTTCTGCACTGCTGTGGATACACCAACAGTTCTCTAAGGAATGGAGAGCTCAACATCTAGGTGAGACTGCAGCTCATAGGATGAAGCCAAGAACCTGGCAGTTCATAAACCCTTCTACAAACTGCAACCTCCAGTAAACCAGGAGCAGTTACTCATGTTAGTACTTTTTCCATCATTTTGGCTAGATTATTCAATTGTGTAAGTACCTTTACATGCCCGTTTTTATTTGCAACTTTATTTAAGGCCTGGCAGACAAAATTATACTTCTAACATTTATTATTCTTTGAAATGCAATATAGACAGCAATATTTGATAAGAGGGACATCAACGGATGATTTCTGTGAGGATGGAGGCACAGACCCAGAGGTAGAGTGTAAGCTGGATCATTTATTGCAAAGATTACACAATATTTATATGCTTCCAAGCTGGGCCCGTGCCTCCATCCTCACAATTTCCATTTCCAGTTCACTCATGACTTAAGGCACCACAATGCTTTTGGTAACCAGCATGAGGCTATTCTGTAATAGATGACTTCAAAAATATCTCTCAGTGTAGCTCATAAAAATTACAAAACAGTTTTGGTTGGAAGGGACAGTTCCAACCCCCCTGCAATGGTCAAGGACACCTTCCACTAGACCAGGTTGCTTAAAGCCCCATCCAACCTGGCCTTGAGCAGTGCCAGAGATGAGGCAGTCACAGCTTCTTGGGACAGGCTGTGCCAGGGCCTCACCACCTTCACAGGGATGAGCTTCTTCCTAGTATCTCATCTCCATCTCCCCTTTCAGTTGCATCTCCATAGAAGACATTGTAGTGCATTTTAATTTTTGTGTTAGTTTTTTTCTAAATGAAGCTCTCATGTATGCATGACACGCTTTCCAGAGTACTGCTGAACAACAGTGTAACAAGTTGAGTGTTGGCCTATAATTAAAGGGCTATCTTATGCACGTGTTAAGAGTTCTATAATCCATGCTTCTTACCAAGTGAAGAAATAAATCACAAATACTGAAGTCAGTCACTAAAAATCCTTCTTGTTCATTCTACATTCTCCTAAAGTTGACCGGGTAACATTAGAAAAGGTACATCCTAGCATAGTTACCATACTTTGCAATGTTTCACTAAAATAAGGAATGATTGTTAGCAGGTTGTTTTTTCTGTATCATGCTTACTTCATTTAACACAGCAACACCTTCAAGCTCTCTATATTGCCCAGCTCACATCTACTTTCTTGGATTGTTTGGACAGTCATCTATGTGATACACCCACAGGCAGCTAACCCTAAAAGTAGTTAATATATTCAGCTACTGTACAGGTATAAAAAGAATATCCTTAGACTAACTACCAGTTTCAGTAGTCACCAAGAAGTTTATTTCTCCTTTTGGACAGGCAAAGGAGAACCCACTGAAAACACTTCTTGAAATTATTACTAACTACTTCCTTGAGCACCGTGGGACTTCCCGAAGCATCAGTTCGAGTTCTGCTCTGTCAGCCCCTCAAAGTAAGAGCTCAACATCTCACCAACCCAACTTATCAGACGAGGATCACATGTGTGGGAGTGCTACTACACTCGATGAAAGCAGAACTCAAGCCCACAGGTAGAGTCTTCTCTCTCTTAATCTTATCCAGACACTATTTTTTTTTTTTGTAAATTAAGTAAGGTAAGTAGTATTACAAGTTTTATCATTTATACCTTTGGCTACAGTACCTCTTAATAGTTATCCTAGTAACACAAAACTTTTAAGTTTCCATATTCTTAAAATCCCCTATGCAAGCCACCCTTTAAAAATACATTTCTATTCCCTACCAATTGCAAAGACTGATAATCTCAATTACATCTTTCAGTCACTGAAAGATGTAACTGACATAGGAATTTAAGCTTTAACGTCTTACAAGTTGGAAATGTTCAAACTGATGCATACTCTGATGAGAAGCTAACCACCTGCACTCAAAACTACAGGTATATTCATGCCTTATATAGTTGAAAGCAAAACACACTATGTTAAATTCAGTCATTACCAACAATACAGGCTATTTTCATCTTGCAAAACACCTGGAAACACAAATAACCAAATATTCTGAGTGTACTTCTTAGTGCCTCACAGTGGATTAATAGCCCTAACTGTGCTGCAGTATAATGCTTTTAAAATGGGCACAAAGGAATAATTCATCTTCCCACCCCTCTCAGGGAATTAACTTGATTTTATTCCTGATATGAAACACAGCATGCTCCAACTAGCTAAATTCTAGAACAAAGAAAACCATTTTTTTTTAAACTTGATGCTACCAACTGAGAAGCAACACTTGAAGATGAAGCAGTTCAAAAGTAGCTGCTTCTCTTTTTCAGATACAGGAGCTTTTAGCATGTTGACAAGTGATTTTCCGTCTCCCTGACACTATCCCACATCACACTGCTTCCGAGCTTGCACATGCCTCATTTTCTCCCCCAGACACTGCAAACTGTTCCGTTCCTCCTGCGATCCTCGCCAGTGTCCGCAGACTTTTCTTGCTACAGCAAAACGCTTTTTATGGCGGAGGGAGACACTAACACCCCGTGTAAACAGCAGCACCCAGCACAGTTAAACGACCAACTCCCGCGCCCTTTTACCGCCAGCAAAATGGAGCTCCGCTCTGTCCCCCCCCAGTTATAGCCCTCCCGGCGCATGCGCATTGGCAGCCGAGCGCTTTCCTCCGCTGCCGGCGGCGGCAAAGAGTGTTGGGTAGCTGTCCCAGAGTAGTGGTCATTGCGCCGGAACTGGTACCTTATGGGACTACTCCGCTTTAGACCGGAGGCCGCTCTATGGTTTTAAGCCTCCGCTGGCGGGGGAGGCGTGTGTAGTGTGATTGTTTAGTTCCTTCCCTGTCATCGTAAATGCACACACATGAAAAGAATTAAAGCCCTACACGCAGAAGCAGCAGGTGTGGGTGATGGAGGTGGGATACATCACGGTGCTGTGAGGAGTACAGTGCAGGTGCTGTTCCTCATGGGGTGAAGCATTCCCTCCCCCTCAAAAAAAAAAAACAAACCCACAAAAAAACCCAAACAGATTTAAGGAAAATTGGAAACCAGGCAGTGAAAAGCAGAAATGCCCAACTTTTCATGTGTATGAGCTTACCAAGCCACCCTGGGAGCTGCCAGCTCCAGAGGGGGAAAAATCCTGTATTGACTTGCAGGTTTCCGTATAAATCCTGTGAGATTTTGTATGTGCTTTCTTGTTACTTCAGCAGCACCAACCTAACTGGTTATGTCTTCCCAAAGTGGCAGATGACAAAGTTGGCTGGAGATGCAAGGAAGGAAAAATGGGCTGAGTGGGTGTGACGGGGGAACATGGGTTTCAGGGTCTGTCCTGATAAAAATCAATATTTGTAGCTGATTTTTCTTTCGAAACCAGCAGAGAACCTGACCTTCACACTCCTGGGCAGGTGGCTCCATCTTTCCCTTAGATCAGGTCTCATTCCAGCCATTTTGGTGGCAAAGCTGTAGGAGAGGGCTGCAAAGCTTCCATAACAGTAACTGTCGTGGGTAGGTGATGAGTTAGCTTGGTCATGTCTGATTTTAGCCCACAAAATGGACCACTGAAAGAAAAATCATGGGAACATGCAGCTCTGTGATCCTCCCAGACATTTCCATCCCCTCTGGCCAAGGGTCTGGCCCCTCTGCCTCTGGTCAGGCATTAGCAGGTCAAACTGCCAGTGCCTGAAGTTAATTTTAATTTCAACTGTCTGGATAATTTTTAATAATGCTTTTAGGAGAGTATAATCAGACAGGTACTCTTCACTTGTTACTTGTTAAAGAGTCTTCTCTTAAGTTACATCTTAAACTCTTTTTGAATGTCTGTAACAGTTTAAACAATCTCTGAGCTGAACCACTGCCCTTTGGCAGTGAGGGGTTACACGGTCTTAGGTCAGGAATAACAGTCCTCAAATGCTCCTCACAGAGACTTATCATGCTGCCTTCAGTTACATATGCACCATATCTTAACAATACGAGGCATACTACTTCAGAAACCAATTTTTAACTGGTTAAATGAAAGGAATATTTTTGTGGTACAAGGTGCTTCAACTCGTGGAATTTCTTTACTAATGGAATAGGATGAAGGAAAAGATCCTAAAGTGAAAAAACAGTTTAGTGACAGTTATCGTAAAGAAGGCTAACATTTTCAGGTTACACAGAATATAAATTTGCAAACTGACCCAAAGAGGTCTCAGTGAAGTGGGGGCTACTCAATAAAAGAACTTCCATTTAAGAGTAGTCTAATACTATGCAGGCAGTGAAACAGATCCTGATGAAGAAAGTTGGACTCATCATGATTTCTTAGGGGGTCAAATGATGACTTTCTTTTTTTCTTAATAAGAACATGATTTGTTAAAATATATTTCTAAGAAAGAAATGTGTATATTGTTGTAAAAATGGAGTTTCAGATCCATGGGATACTCACCTCCATTTCCGAAAAGCTTGTTTATAGCATTCTATAGGAAAAGGTGCAAATGTGTGAACTACACCTTCTGTTGCTGCCTGAAGAAAGAGGCTAAAGAATATTAAGAGGTCAGATGACAGCAGCATAGTAACCTATTGCCAAGGAAAAGCACAAATCATGGAATCATAGAATACTTAAGAGTTGGAAAGGAACATAAGGATCATCTAGTTCCAACCTACTGCCATGGGCAGGGACACCTCACACTAAGCAGTGTCACCCAAGACTCCGTCCAGCCTGGCTTTGAACACTATCAGGGATGGAGCATTCACTTGGGCAGCCTGTTCCAGTGCCCCACCACCCTCACAGTAAAGAACTTTTTCCTTATATCTAACCTAAACTTCCCATTTTAAGTTTGAACTGAAATACAAAAGTATATTTCTTACTAAAATGTTATACATTTGAACAAAGAGTGAAAGTGCCAGTAGTGTCAGTCTTAAGTTAATGATAAAAAGAGATGTTAGCAAAAGTGTTACTAAATTTTCAAACTGCCGAAACACTGAAGACAGAGGAGTAATGGGAATGGCTGGTGGTAGCTTAGGACCTGTTTGATATGATCTATATAGTGTGCTTTCTGTGATGGCATGGTAAATATCAGAAGCATAAGATTAGAACATTACAGATATTGTAACCAATTGTGACACATAATAATGATATTGAAATAGTGTCCTGAAGGCCTACATCTAGATGTGAAAAGTGATTATATTTGAGTACTGTTGCTAGATAACATGTAACTTAATGTGACAGCAGTGATTTAATTGAGAGATGTTTTCATTGATTTTATTGTGCATGATTTTGCTGTTTGAAGTTTGCCTTTTTCTGCCTTGTAGATATAATGTTGAGAATTCACTAGATAAAATCTTTCCATCCAGAAAACATCAACACAAAAGTGAAAAATGCCCCACAGGGGCAGTACACAACAGTCAGTTACTCTCTGATGGGGATAAGAAGTTACAAGATAGTCGAGAAGATTTAAAAGCAGCAACGGTTTCTGAAGAGCTGAAATCCGCAGTGAAGGAGAAGCCAAGGCCCAGGTCTAGTCTCATTGTCAGAGGAATGATGGCCGGACCAGTAGCAAGTTCACCAGAGGTGATTTTCAACACTTATAAAATACGTGGTTTGGCCATAGATTTTATGTATAACCTTTTGTGATAATGTAATTTGCAAATGATAATAAAATTACTTTTACATGTTAATCCATTAAATTGGCAGTCTGAAAATATGTGGTTAGAGAAGTGTTTTTAGTTAATGCAGAAATTCTGACTGTTTCAGATATAGCTACTGCATGCAAGTACCCTCTGTCTGTCTGTGATTTTAGGTTACAGGATTTCTTTATTAATTTTTTTGATTCTTGGTACCTCTTGATGGATTAGATTTTCCATTTTCCTAGAAAAATTGTTTTTATCTTTGTGATATCTATGGCTTTCAAAGTTTCTTTAGCCGCTGTTATCACTTTTACTATTTTTTAATTTTTTTTTTTTTTCCTTCCCAAAATCCCACATTTAATCAGTAGCAATTTGGAACTGACAATTACTTTTAGTTAGAAATATGTTTCTAAATTGGTCCAATCAGACAATATTCCATCAGTAAGTGCTTTCAAAACACAGTTGTAAAAGTCTTGCCTCTTTTTCTGCATGCTGCTTTTATCTGGACAGGAACTTTCCCTGTGTAAAATTAGGATTGTAACAATATGAACATTTTTGTTCTTATTTTTTTTCACAATTTTGAAGTTATCATTTAAATAATACCGAAGAGAATATGGAAGTTAAATTAGTTGGATTTTTATAAATATCTCTGATTTGGAAATAAAGACTAGATACCTGTGGAGGGAAATCTGTCTACTAAAATGCCTTTTTTTTTTTCTGAGTTGGGTACAACCCCTAAATTAAGGTTTTGGGAGTTATTTTGTTGATGTTCATTGGTAAAAGAAAGCAGTTTTTAACAGTGTGTAGTACCTTTAATAGTACTCAAATTTAAGTAAAACTGTACATCTGTCTTTTTTATAGTTTAAAAAAAAAATCTGTTTTACTATATAACCTGATTTCTAGCAATAAACAAATTTCTTAACTCAGAAATCAGTGATAGAGCTTTCCTTTGTTTTCATGTTTATGTAAATTGCTAAAATTTTAATGGTACTTATTTCTAGGATCTGCAAAAAAGGAGGCTTTCAAAACGATCCACTAGCATAAGCAGCACAGCACAGTTCAAGGCTGAAGAACATGAAGGAAATGACCTGAGTGTCCCAGGTACTGATTTTCAGGAAAGCAAAGGATCTTCAGCACAAGTAAATATAGGGTTCACATCAAAGGTTATGTCAAGTTTACACACAAGTTCAGCCTTTGAAAAACTAAGAACCATTCCGAAAGATACAGATGACTCTTTTGCCAGTGCGCTCACTGAAAGAGAGAGGACCAAGACAGAAGAAAGAAAATCACTTCCAAGCTTTGGTACAGACAGCAATGAGAAAAGCCTTAAAGTGAGTGCCCCTCACAGACATTCAGGGGCTGGAAGAGAGAAGAGAGAAAGATCCTTCAAGAAAAATGAGAGTCGGTTGTCAGGCCATAGGTAAGAATATTTGTAAGACTATCATACCTAAAAGGTTGAGGAAGTCTGATGGAGGACTAGGATTGACTGAAGTATGCCTTCTGATTTCACTGAGGGGGAGTGGCTTGAAGAGGTGAAGATACTGAAAGAGAATTTGATTTAACTTACTAATTTTTGACATCCCAAACCACTCATGACTCCTTTCTTTGTTAGTGGAGGCACCCTGGAAGTGCTGTTTTCTGTTTACTGCTTCAGAAGGAGCTAGTTACTAGTTCAGACTTCAACCAGACTGGATAAAATTCTTTGGGAAGACTGTGTCTGACCAAGAAAGCTTTTGTACTAGCTTCACTCAGCTAGTGAGTTGGACACGCTGACAGTTCCTAACTTACGGAGCAGTAATTGTGGAGTACACAGAAAACGGGAAGCTGGACTGAAAGGGAACTCCCCCAGTGTACTGTTTTGTGCAGTGTACTGTGGTACTGTGCTCCATTGCTATAGTAAATGACTTGTCCCTGGGAGTGTTCCAAAACCATGTAGACAAGGGACCCTAGTGACATGATAGTGGTAGATTTGGCAATCCTAGGGGAATGGTTGGACTTGATGATCTTAAATCAACCTAGTTGATTCTGTGATTCTATGATTCTATTTGAAATACTTTCCTTCCTTCCTTCCTTCCGAGGACTGGTTTGTTTTCAGCAAGAACAGAAGAGGGAGCTATTTCCTAGGCAGAGTCCACCTAATCTGTTTTCAGCGTATAATGAGGGCATTCCTGCCATTCGATTTGAGTTAAAGCCAGTAGAGCGTTTGAATTCAAGCTGAGCTCTGAGCTCCTGAAAACTCTCACTGAAATCACTAGGGCTGCTGATACTCCCGAAGTTAAGTGGAAGTAACAGAGAGTGGAAGGGAGCCTCCGAATAAACACTGATCATTACAATATAAGGCCTGGCTCTTGCAAGATTTTTATATCCCTTTGGCCAAATCCTGCAGTGTTTGAGAGCCTTTCAGGATTTCGCCAGAGTGCTTGAGCATTTCGAGGCACAAAAAATTACAATGTCTTTTTAAATTAAATTTTAAATTTAATTTTAAAAATTATGTGGATATTTGTCTGGATCCTTTTCCATTCTCTGTTAATACCCGACACCTCTGACATAAATGCTAATCTAAGTATTTAGATGAGTAGCTGAAAATCTATATAGGGTTAGCCACAGCTAGTTCATTCCGAGGCACCTCCAATTCTATTTTTGTTTCCTGTAGAAAACTGAAAATATACAAGTGTTATTTTTCCTTCCATTTGCTGTACTTTTCAATCTCTTTTCTCATATAAAAAAAAAAAAAAAAAATGCACACAGGCAGGAGGCATTCATTGTTTCCATATGAGAAAAAAAATAAAACCACTGCCACGCTTCAAAAGACTATGTTATTGTATAAATGCTAAGTAGCTGAGTGGGCAGAAATACCTGTCTGTATGTATGTCCTGGGGAAATACAGGTCCACGGTATTTTTGACTCACATGTTTTAATGAAAGAAATGATCGTGCTTTCTTTTCATCAACTATCAAATTCTTAGCTACTGCATGAAGTGTGTGTGGCTGAGAGGCCAGATTTGTGACTTGATATTTCAGTCTTATAGTATCAACATGAAGCTAGGCCTCTGAATACCTTATTTCACATAGAAGTTTGTCCTCATTACAAATTGGAGGTTCTTTCTTCAAGTAATTTTGATTTCTTGACTTGGATTTCTGTGATGACCCATATTAAATGTTTACCTGCAAAGACGGTCTTTTAACCTGGGCAGAGCCTTGAATGGAAGTGGGGAAAGGTTCCCTGTTACTTAAATATCTTGAGGTGGGGTCAATCCTCCCTTGAGCAGAGTGGTTGGACCAGATGACCTCCAGAGGTGCCTTCCAACCTCAACCCTTCTGTGATTCTCCTTAATGCTGAATCCCCTATAAGGAGGAAGTATTTAGCATTAGCTGAGTACACAGAATAAAGAATGAGGGTCTGTATTGAAATGGAATTAATGATCTTTAGGAACTGTAAACAAATAAACAGTTGTTAAATTTGATGCCAGACCTTGGATTAAGATCTTTCTATTGCTTTTCCAGAAAAACCATGATAAATAGTGAGTTATTTGGGAAGGCTAAATAGTGTTAGAAGGTCAAGATTTCCCCATGTTCACTAGCTTGAACAAACAAAATTGGGGAAAGGCAAGCAAAACCACTTCACAGCAGTTGAGAAAGGGTTCTTTTGTCTCAGCTACAGAGGCATACTACAGTTGTTGCTTATGCAGACTTTGAAGTAGAAGAGCTCTATGAGTTTTCCATGTCCCTTAATTCTATCAATGTGTACTAGTGATGTGGAAACCCTCCAGTTGTCAGCTGGATAGTTTGTGAGTAAATCTGGGCTGGCCAGCTGCATTTTGACTGGGCAGTTCTGCAGTGTAGTGGAACCACATTATGCTGAGTTAGATAGATACTGTCTGGAGACCTCAGTTTCACTTCTGGTAGTTAAGAAGATGAACATATTGCCATGTTTGAACTTTTAGTTTCCCTCCCCAATTCCAAGAAAAATAGCATAGAAATTACAATCAGAGCACTGAAAGAATAAAAAGGTATAAAACTGGAATCAAAGATCCAAGGGAACAAGAGGTCTTAGCAATCAAGACCTGAAGTTAAGGATATTTTGCCAATTTCATAGAAATTAAAAGGGAATGGCTATCATAAGGCAAAACGAAACGTGAATATTGTTACATTAGAACAAAAATTTCCTCCTGCCATTAGTGAGCAAAAGCATACAGCAGTGAATTCCATTGTCCAAAGGCAGAGATCTGTAATACAGTTTCAGGAGCAAGGAAGCTAATTGATTCTGCACTCATGCTTTCGTTGTGAACAGTCACCCTACTTATCCAGTTCTTCTAATTGCATCTGCCATACCCTCCTTTGCCTTGCCATCAGTCTTGGCTACAAAACTGAATGTGAGCTAGTGGTTTCCTTTCAGAAGCCTGCCAGTACAGATGGGTATTTCAGACAGGAGGGACAGTTTTATGACTGTGTAGCTTGGCTTCAGATGCTTTTTCCAACCAAAACCTAAGTATCTCTGATGCTCTTCATCTCCACCACCAGGAAAGTAACTGCCAGTGAGTTCAGAGAATTTCTCTTCCTACAATAGTCTCTCAACTGAGTTCACTTTTGCTGAGCACTCTTTAGTGGTTCCCAAAATATCACTCATTATTTGGTAATAAGCCTTTTTTGTAGCAGTGCTCTGCATTCTAGCACAAATAGGGTAGGGTTAGTGAATTGCCATAGATACCAAGTTCCTTAGTGGAACATTGCTCATATTTCATAGAATCTTAGAAGTTACAGATGGAAAAGACCATTTAAGGTCATTTGTTTCTATGGCAGATTACTCATTACTCTCTATATATATTTGCTGTAATACTTTTTCCAAGGGTTTGTCTTGTCCTGTCTTAAATGACTTAAGTGACACCTCTCCCCTGAGAATATATTCCAGCATCTAGCAGTCCTTAGCCTGAGGAATTTTTCCCTTATATTCACGTTACATTTGATTTTTTTCTGCCCTATTATCCATAGATTACATTAGTTTTTGACTGATCTTTCTGTTCCTTGCTACACGTTTGCCTATGTTCTTGTTATTCTAATTCTTCTTATTATTCTAATTCTAATTATTATTCTAATTCTAATTATTCTAACTATTTTTCATGTTCCTTTAGGCATTTTTTGTCTAAAGCTTGTATCATCTGCTTGTATTTTTATCTTTCCTGATCTGAAATGTTGCTGTTGTTTTTCTGTTAGGTTGTATTGATTTGTTTTTCTTCCATGTATTTAAGGACCCGTCTAACTTTGTCACACTGTGATTCTCACTAATACAGGGTAAGAACAATCACTTTCCACTCATGACATGATTCCCAGTTTTATAAAATCGTATTAGCACATTTGTCACTGCAATTTATCACAAGTATATGCCTTCTTACCTACAGTCTCGAGCACATTGAATGCAAAATGTCTCCTCAGTGTTATAGTGTCTCTTCCTCCAAAATGGTCTTTGTAGTATCATTCTGAAGCCAGTTTAATCTTCTATAGTAAGGCAATATGTGTTCCTATAGAAAAGTTGTCTCCCTTCAAATCCCTGCATTTCTGTGTAAGACTGACAAGGAGTGAATGGCTTTACTTTGCTTTCTGAACTACCTATGTCTTTCTTCACCCTGAATTGAGACCAGTACAGGTGAACCCATTGTATTACTGAAAATTCCTGCCTTTTCCCATTTACATGTTCCATCAAAAAGTCTCTGAAAATTCACTTTTATGGAGCTGGGGGATCCTTAGAGGAAAACAAAATACTAGTTTCTTAAAAGAAATCCTTTAAAGCCTTTAAAAATATTTGCAGGGTTTTGTTTTTTTTTGTATTCTTTTAGATACCTGAGACTTTCAGAATAATATTTTGAAAGTGCTGTGGTCCTTAAAGTATTAATATTCATGCTTTCTGTTACTAACAGGAATAAAAAAGCTTATTTTGTATGTGAGGTTCAAACCTATACCTGTCACTTGTACATGATTGACTACCTAAAACTGCCAAGATCCTCTCACATGTTTTTATCCTGAATCATTCCTGGCCTCAAGCTTTGCTCATTTACATTAGAACATTAGCAGAGAATGTTGGCCATGAGTTTCTGAGCAAATTCAGAGCAGGATTTGAACTTCCCTCCACCAGTATAGCCAACAAAGCAGAGCACAAGCAGGAGGTTTCTGGACTGCACTGATGATAACTTCCTGCCACAGGTGATCAAGGAATGTTTTCCTGTGAGAGTGGAAATGCTGGAACAGGTTGCTTAAGGTGTCTGTGGTGTCTCCATCCTGGAGACAGTCAAAACATGGCATGGCCTTGAGCAACTTACTGCAGTGTAACCCGCTCTGAACAGAAGGTTGGACTAGCTGAGCTCCAGAGGTCCCTTCCAAACTGTTATTCTGTGATTCTGAACTCATGACAGAAATAAAAGCGCCAAAG